GGATAGTTCTAAAAAACAGGTGGCGCCACACCAGTCACGTGACCTCGATGACGCAACAATTTTTATTTTACACATTGTTTTTTATGTGTCACAACAAGATGACATTAACAACACATTGATTTCAAATAAAAAATTCAAGAAGATAAAATACATGGTGTGTATTCTGTTCCATGCAACTCACGAAAGCTCATGCAGGTGAAACAGGAAGAAATTTCAACATAAAAACATTAAAAACAGAATTATAAATAAAGCAATATTTCTCCATATGAGATTCTGACTACTGAAAATTAGGCTCAATTATGTATGAAACCAAATATTATGTTAAAAATTATTGAAAGTTGTATTAGTTAAAGTGTACCAACATTTCTAAAGCTCTCTTCAAGCTTATCTGTTTTCTAACCATCTCACAATCAAGTGTCATCTACGTTGTGTGGGCAAATTTCTTTTCAAAACACCATGCAAGACTAAAGAAAACATGTGAAAATATTTGAGTTAGTATTAGACTTTGTGCTAATATTCTGTCCCAAAAGATTGGTTTATTTTTTACATTAATTTATGGAGAAATACTAAAAACAAAGCTTCATATTATTTCTATATATATTTTGTTTATAATAAACTTAAAATTTAGTACAACTTGTACCGATTTCCTTCACATACTATTTTAACATAACATAGCATACCACAAAATTTAAGGACAACAAAGAACCTGCATGTTGGTCCATTTAAACTTTACCCTCTGCTAAACTGAACTTTAAATAAAAACTCAAAGCCAGTCTTTATTATTCAAATATTTATCAAGTTTTCTTTTAAAACCCTTTAAATTTACTGCATCCACCAAATCTGGGGGTAACCCATTTTGTTAGAAAAATTAAACATCTTTAAACTTTGTTCCTGTTGATATAAGTCATTCACTTTCACAATACTTTTATGGGAATGTTATATAGGAAAATAAGACTCCTATGAAGATGATCCCTACTATGCCAAAAGTTATACTTGTGTCCACTAGTCCTACCATTCTTAGCATTAAGTACAAAGAATGATGCATCAGCACTATCAATTCCCTTAATAACCTTAAACACATCCATCTTAATTATTTCCTTTTCAAAAGAAAACAATTTAAGAGATCTTAACCTGTTCTTATATGACAACCATTTATTTCAAGTATCTTCCCAGTAGCCTTTCTTTGAACCCTTCCCAACAATTCAACATGATTCCTAAGGTAAGGAGCTCAAGACTGAGCACAATACTCCAAATTTGGCAAACCAGTGACCTATACAATGAAATTATAACCCATTTGAAATTGCATTCGATATTTCTGAAGATACACAAAGCATTATGATTTTTAATTTGGCATCTTTTGACTTGTTTACTAGTTGTTATTGATGAAGTACGGTCACAACAGACTTTTGGTACTAGTAGAGTATCTCAGGGGTCAGTGTTGGGATTTTGCTTTTCTTTATTTACATTAATAATAATTAATAAAGTTTTCAAATGGAGTTAAGCTCTATAGGGTGGCCAAACATCTTAGTAGTTGTGCCAATTTTAGTTAAGGTGACATTGACCTGAAATAGCCCTCCTAACTAAAATCAATAGGAATGTAGGGGTTGAAGCCGTCAAATTAAAAGAAACAATTATAATTTTTGTATTTTAATAACATTTCATGATGTACAACAATCCTAAACAAAATATTTGCTATGTGCCATGTGATATTTTCTAAATGACAAGCATGCTGCAAGTTTTTGCCTCACACTCCATGGTTTGGCCACCCATGTTTACTTGAACAAATAATTAGCAAATGACCTTTACTTACAGTAAGTGCAAGATAATGCATGTTGGTTATCATTTGGATCAAAAATTTCACATATATTTCAATAGCATGGCTGATGAAAAGGATCTTGACATAGTGGTGGGTAAGTCACATATGCCATTGATGCTGTGTTTTATTGCTAGTGTAAAAGCCAACAGAATTTTAGGGTGTATTTATAGACATAGTGATTACAAGTCAGAAAGAGATATCTCTTTATACAAATCATTAGCTAGGCCTCAGCTGGAATATTGCGTACAGTTTTGATCTTATATCTAAATAAGGATATTGACTTATTCAAAAGTATTCAGAAAAGGACTACTGGAGTGATGCAGGGAATGGAAGTGTTACGTTATTTTTTCTTAACAAATGAAAAGTAGAATGTGATTATTGAGGTTTATATGATTATTCAGGGTATCAATAGGACAAAAGTCTCTGATTTCTTTGTGCTATATTATGAAGATGACATGATAAGAGAATAAATTTAAGATTTGGATAAGACAGCATATACTATGGTTAAGACAGTTGTATTTTTTTAATAAGATGATTAGCTTACAGAAGGAATTGCCATCAGCAATAATGGCGATCAATACTTCACAACAACTTAAAAGAGGAATTGATAATTTCCTGAAAAATAAAGTATGGATTTTTAAGTTTTTACTTTTAACCTAGGGTGGATGTGTAGAGAGAGAGGTTTCAAGGACCAAATAGATCTTTGTTGTCTGTATGTTATTTGATGAAAATTACTGCTTATTACTACAATATTTAACTCAATTTATAATAGTCAGTGATTCTAATTAGATGTCAGCATGGGCATGAAATATGTAACTGGGTACCCTCTATGAAAAATACACGTTCAGGTAATAAAAAACAACAAACTTACATTTAATTGGTTACAAATATTAATCTTTTAAGTGCACAGTATATAAATAATTGCTACATATAGTACACATGTTTCCTCTCTTCATATACTGTACACTTGTGTAGCCTATTTTAGTACTGAAACCAACAAAATAATAAAAAATATACCTCTGACTGAATTAAATTAATAATGTTAACATTGCTCTATACTGTGGAATTATTTGTGCCATCTACTGGTCATATTCTTTTGTTATTCTCAGGTTCATATTAATAAGGCAACTAAAGAATTTTCAACCACAGTGTTGAAGCAAAGGAGCATTGTGTGAGATTTCTTTACCAAAGGAGGTGACACTGAAATTTACAAAGCCTGTTTCAACCTTGTCTTTATTACATCAACCAGAGACTAAAGTTTACAACTGCACTGTTGTAATATTTTCTACATTTTCTTTAAATTCTCAAAGAATAACTGTTACCCCGGAAGCAAAGAACAAAAAAGACTAGCGTGGGTAATTAAAAACTTGATGGGCACCCAAGTTTTTAAGTGTCCATGTTAATCTGTAATTCTGAATGATATCATTATATATATATATATATATATATATATATTAATGAAAACTCATGCTACACCATGTGGCAACTGCAAAATAAATCTAGCATGAGTTAACACTGTTTTTTTCTTTTGTTTTTGCTTTCTAATACCATGCATCATTCCCACAGTTTAACCTCCCACATCTTTTATAAACACACATTAAAAGACACATACTCATAAACATAACAAACTAACGAGACCCAAATATTATGTTAATGCATTTTAAAAATAAGTTCCCTTATTAATTCAACACATCAATACATACATACATGAAAAATTAACTTCCTTCACTATACAAATTCAAGTTACTGCCAGTTATGTGTGAAATTTGTGTCACATTTATTGTTTATGAGCTAAAAAACAATTTCTACACTGCTACATTAAAGACCATTGGTATGTATATATTAAACTATACAGTAAAAAAAAATTGCCTAAACATATCAAATGCTTGTGTATAAAGAGAATAGAAATAGTTGGATAATATTCAGGAAGTGAAAATTGATATACTAAATTATTAATCCTCTGTTATGGCACATGAAACACCCTCAATGTCAACTCTACTTTAGTGATTACAATTCTTCACCTTTCATTGGAATGGAACCCAGAGCTGACATGATCCCACTTTTTCAACTTGAAACTGGGTGGTGCTGAATGCAACCTGTAGTTTCATGTATTGATGATTTGACACTTATTGGCAGATCTTGGTTCCATGTGGTCTCTCTCATTCATGCAAGTTGCTCAATAAACTAAAGTACACTTGTAAGTTGTACTGTACTGCTCTACTACTTTATCATAAAATGAATGGATACCTTAATTTCACCAATTGCCTGTAAATACATTTATTGATAATACCGATTGTTTTTAATACTTAATTACAACATCTCTAATTCTGGCAACTGAAAAATATACATGGGGACTGGGAGTTACTTTATAATTGTATGATTTTTCATGAAACTATAGTATATAAGTATGAGAAAAAAAAAAGCAACTTAATTATCTTTAATGATATGCTTTTCTTGAATTAAGAATTCCTAGTAATATATATAACTTACCAAAATAAATACAAATGATTATTATTTTTCGATGAGAGAAGAAGAAAACTTGAACTTGAAAGTTGAAGAAGGAGGTGAGTTATTTTACGATAACCTAATGAAGTTCAGATACTTTGCGCTTCCTTCTGCCATCGAGTAAGATAGAACTGACATCGAGGCAGCGTTAACACCCTCCTTTCCTAAAAATAAAAACAAATTCCGTTTCCGGTATTTTATTAAATAATAATAATTAGAAAATATGAAATTGAAATAATGATTTCGGTTTTCAAGATTCACTCAATGAACATGTAAGTATAAACACATACACACACATATATTCGCATTAACACGTTGCTATTTATGAACTTGTGTGGAAATTTCTCTCTTCATTTCTAAACTTGGCATGGAAAAATCAACTAGATCTGCTAGCTATACATATCAAATTATCGTAGTTGTAATGCCAGATTGAAAGAGTGCTTTGGTTAAAAAGTTGGCTTTCACGTCTTGGAATATAAGAAATAATGAATTCTACTTGTTGTCATTCGCACAACTTGTCACTTATTTCTTTACAATACCACGGGAAGAACACGGGCCTAACTGGGACATATTTTTGATATGCCCTTCAAATATAATTTTGTATTTTCCAACTAGGATAAATTAAATGCACACGAAATCTTCAAGAGACACATATGATCCTAACATCACAGTTGAAATAATTGTCGTTTCACCCTTCCATAACTAGTTTAGGTTGTATCTGTAGAAATATATATTCAAGTGATGTCTTTAAATTTCTTGTAGGTGTTCTGCACGTAGTTAATGACATTCTTGTAAACAGGATGATGGAAGGTTGTAAGCATGTACTAATCCTTTTACAAAGGTTACATAGTGAAATGGATGGTCACTGCAGTAAAAGGTATCCTAGGCCATTTGTGAGTGAAACAAGGACAGGAGATAATGGATACCCCACTTACAGAAGGCGTGCCCAGAGGACGGTGGCCATCATGTGCTCATCAAAGTTGGCAGTGAATACGTTCCTATGGACAACCGATGGGTAGGGCCTTACTCTCCTGTTCTATCTCGGACGTTCAAAACCCACGTCAATGTAGAGTACTGTAGCAGTGTCAAATCGATCAAGTACATTTGTAAATACGCCAATAAAGGGACTGACAATGCCACGTTTGCTGTTAGTGACGAAACAGATGAAATCCAGAGGTACCAGAGTGGACGTTACATCTGCACATCTGAGGCAGATTCCCTGCTGTCTCGCACCTGGAAGTCCACCTCCCAGACGAACAGCGAGTCTACTTTCAGCCAGACAAGGTCAAGGAACAAATGGAGCGTAGCACAACTCTTTTGGCATTCTTTGATCTCTGCCAGTCAGATGCTTTTGCCAGGACACTTCTTTACAATGAAGTACCTTCCTATTTTACGTACTCAAGACAAAGAGCTTGGGCCAGGAGACTGAGAGGACAACCAGTGGTGGGTCATCCCAATGTAAGGCAAGACTCATGCATCGGAAGAGTATACACTATCCATCCTAGCTGCAGTGAGCGTTACTACCTTCGCCTGCTTCTACACTCTGTTCGAGGCCCTATTTCTTTCGACGACCTAAAGACGGTCCATGGTGAACTGCACCCTACTTTCCAGTCTGCTTGCCGGGCCATTGGACTCTTGGAGGATGAAGCCTGTTGGGAGGAAACACTCAGGGAGGCTGCCATTTCTGAGAGCCCTCACAAGTTGAGAGATCTCTTCAGTGTCCTGGTGGTGTTCTGCAACTTTAGTAGCCCCCTCGATCTCTGGATGAGGTTCAGAGACTCCCTGTCTGAGGACTTTTTGAGAGCAGCTCAACAGGTGAACGTTAACACAACGTACGACAATGCTCCTAACCTGTATGATTTGTGCCTGACAAACATGCAGGAAATCATTACCTGTATTGGTGGTCTGCGGTTAGACAATTACAACCTACCTGTGCCGGCCAGAGTTGTTCATCAGTTAAATATTGATTACATCAGGGAGACCAGCTACAACCATCCTGAACTTCTAAACTTTGTTGAGCAGAACTACCTGATGCTCACAGATGAACAGCGTCAAGTCTATGACCATGTTCTTTCTAGCATCCCCAGTCCAACAGATCACAAGATCTTTTTCCTTGATGATCCTGGAGGAACTGGAAAGACAGGTACCTCATAAACCTGATTCTAGCACAGGTTAGAGGTGAGCATAAAATCGCTCTAGCTGTAGCTTCTTCAGGCATTGCAGCTACTCTACTACCTGGTGGGAGGACTGCTCATTCAATGTTTAAGATACCCATCAATGTTGACCATATGGAGTTCCCAGTCTGCTCCATTTCAAGGAATGCTCCAATGGCCCAAGTGATCCGAGAATGCTCACTCATAGTGTGGGACGAATGCCCCATGGCCCACAAACTGAGTATTGAGGCATTAGACCGCACCTTAAAGGACATAAGAAACAACAACAAGACTATGGGGGAGTCACGGTGTTGTTCTCTGGATATTTCAGACAGACTCTGCCCGTTGTGGTGCATGGGACGCGGGTGGATGGGATCAATGCTTCTCTAAAAAGATTTTTTATGTGGTTGTCCATTGAGCGTCTCTCCTTAACAGTAAATATGAGAGTTCGTTTTGGGGAAGAACAAGGGGTTGAGGAGTTTTCTGAGGTCCTTTTGAAAGTTGGGGATAGGAAATTGGAAAACACCGGTGGTCTCATAAACATCCCTCCTTCACTCGGCACAATCGTCGAATCACAGGAACAACTGATCGACAGTGTTTTCCCCGGGGTTCATGAACTGCTCAACTTGGAAAGTGCCTGGCTCTGTGATCGTGCCATCCTCACGACCACCAATGAACAAGCAACAGAGATCTACAAGAAGGTGATGTCTCTCTTTCAGAGTGAGGAACGAACGTATAAATCTGTTAACACAGTTCTTAACCAGGACGACGCCGTTCACTACCTGGCAGAGTT